CTCCCAGCCTGCTCAGCACGAGAGAACACATTTGAGTAGAGTAAGTATGCTTGCAAACATGACTTAGGACCATTGCATGTGGACCAGAACCAGTACCTGCTTCCTGGTTGAGAGGAAGGTGATACACTGGCATAGAGCAATGGATATGGGTCTCTGATACCAGCTTCTCCCATCACGGCTGGAGGCTGGGAGATCAGAGTTCATAGCCTCAAGGCCATGACAGGTGTTAGGGTATAGCTTTCCAAGTCCATACCTTCCGTACCCAACCCTCATTATCATTTTCTACAGACTGCTAGGGAATTAGAAATGAACTGATGCCCTCTGGATCTCTGATTGCTGGCCAAGGGTACAGGGGATGGTCACCCCCTGCCTCTTTAAAGTCTTCATGACCTTCCTCCAGGGTTTCCTGGGATGGAATACACTGATTCTCCACTGTTCCACAAGACCTGCTAGGATCCAAGTCTTCTACCCAGTCTCATTCTTCCTTAGCAATGCTCACCCTGGCTGAATAGTTACACCATCCCTATGTGCCTAGTTTATAACTGGTTTCCTCCACTAGAATGCAAGCTCCTTAGGCTCAGAGAAGCAATACTGCTTGTTTTAGTCACACCTCTGCTTCCACAGCACCTTGCATGGGGTTGCACTTGACCAGTTTACAATAACAGGGAAGATTTCAGAGAGGTGGCCCAGTAAGCTCCCTGCCCAGGAGTGGCACATACTCATCTCAGGAGTATACTGAGTTGTGGATGGTACATGCTGGTGAACCTCTTGTCAGCTGCTAATCTTGACAATGAGCATTATGGCCATTGGAGACTTTAGAACACAGCATACCCAACAGTCCACATGTTATCTGACTAGATGGGGAACAGGTGCTGGAAGGTTCCTGCATCAGCTGGTAGGTACTATACCTGTAGTGAAGGTGCAGGCCTCCTAGGCTGAGAGATACCTGGTAGCTAGAAAGGGTAAGCTTTCCTCCCCTAGACTTCAGAGAGCTTCCCTATTTCTGAGACCTGGCTGGGAGAGCACTGGGCATTTCACTAGGCTGGTCTCTGCTTGAGGAGTTTGGTGGAGCTCACCTGGAGGCCCAAGGCCATGACTGGTGTTGGGGTGCAACTTTCTAAGTCCATACCCTCCTTATCCAACCCTCGTTACCATTTTCTACAGACTAGCAGGGAACTAGAAATGAATGGATGTCTCCCTGGATCTCTAATTGCTGCCGGGGGTCCCACATCTTGCCTGTAACCCTTACTTGCTTATTTGACCCTCATCAGATGCATGCTGGCAATACCCTAACCTTTTATGGTGTTCCCCAGTCCTTGCTCTGTTTCCCTTACCAATGTCTTTGTAGTTCATTTATTTTCTTTGCCCTCTACTGCTCTGTCCATCCAGCATGCCGACTTGCCCTAGGTGAGCTCTCAGCATCCTTGATTCCAAATATGCTTTCCAAAAACAAGGTACACAGGCCAGAATGAGGGGCTGGTTCCTGGCTGGAAGACGGGGACCTGGTGAATCTCCTGGGTGGCCTTGACACCAGACACTCCCCTCACACCTTTGGATGTGAAGTCAACTATTTATGACCCTATTGCCATGCCCTTATTCATGGTGTGAAAGCCAATGCTCATTCATTGTATCGCTCCCTCACCAATACCTTCTCTCTGTGTGTTCAGCCCCATGCCAAATGCTGGCAATAGCCAACTTCCCTTCTTCAGTTATTTGTTGTCTGGAAGAAGAGTCAGGCAGAGGAAACGGGCACTTCCAGCTGTGCCATCATCTCTGGTCTACACTCAGGGTTATAAGAGAGCAGAGGGGGCATGTGAGAAGGTTACTTCTTCACCAAGGAAGGGCTGATATGCAAAGTCTATCTATGACCATTTCTTGTCACCATCTTTGCCCAAGCCAATCTTATAGGCCACGGAAAACTCCTTAGCAAACCTCCATACAGCCACTAACCACTAGCCTAGCCTCTGGTGACCTGTTGCCTCATGTGCTCCTGATCCTCCTTTGCTTCCGATCTTGCCAGGGCTAGACATCCTGCAGATACCTCCCTTCTATGCCTTCTGGGTAGTGCCCCCGGGCCTTACCTCTTCTCCCCTTGAGAGGACTCCCCCCATCATCCAGGATGGGCTCTGTGGGCTCTGCTGATTCCTGCATGCCAGCCTCCCACTCCAAAGGTTCTTTTATTAGCCCCATTTTACAGATGTAGAAATATAGGCCAGAGAGGTTGTATAACTTTCTCATTGTCAGCTGAAATGTGCCGGACTAGGTATCTGAATCCATTTCGATTGGATTCCAGAGTCGTCAGAACACATGGGCATAATAATAGGCAGGGAGTAGAAGACAGCTGAGAGGAGAATGAGAATGAGCAGGCAGCATCAATGGAGAGATGGATGATGGATGCAGTAATCACCACTGTGTCTAATCACGTTTGCTGTTCCTGTGTTCCAGGTGACTCCGGGAAGGTATGTCTGTTGGCAGGAGGAAAGGGGGTGCATCCTTCAGGAACCCCATCTTCCTCTACAACCCTGGGTTCTTGCAAGGCCATGTACAATGGACAGAGGCCAGCAGAGAGTCAAGGAAGGACATTTTAAATCCTGCCTGGGCGCAGGCAGCACTCAGGGTATCAAAATGGGCCTCAGGAGGCAGACACTTACAAAGGTGAATATTCATCATGTTTTATACCTACATTCAGATCCTTAATAAGGAAGTAATAATATTGCCAAGTCTTTACCATGCTTTCTATGAGCTAGTGAGGAGACTAATTATCTGACGACACTAATAAATGGTTATGATGTTATTAAAAATGGCACCAAGCTAGGATTAATAGGCTCATCAATTGTAAGGAATCAGGTTTAACAAGGTCCCCTGCATGTCCCATCAGGGCTCATGGCCTTGATGAATGCTGGACCTCCTGAAGTTCAGTCCAGAAATCTGGAGGCCATGGACGAGGTTCCCCGTTTCCCCAGCCGAGGGGTGACTCGGGAGGGTTCTAGCTGCTGCTGGATTGTCTCATCATATCCCTTTAAAAATAGCTCTCCAAAGCTCCCGGGCCATTGGAGGTGCTGTGGGTGGCGGGTCTCCACATGACCCCATCTTTCTTCTGCAGCCCCACTCATCTTTGTAAAGGTCAGGCTCAGAAGGCACATAGAGCCCTGGACAGCAGAGCCCCACTCACGGGTGCAGGAAGTGGGTAAAAGGAGATGCTGTGGGAGGGGGCCTGCTAGCTCATTTCCATAGTAATTATGGTTATTATTAATAACAGTGACAATATGACTCCCTTTCCATTAAGAAGAGCTCAATAAGCTAGAGCCCTCTTCTCTACCTGTTGTCTTCTCTGAGCCTCACAGAAGGCAGGGAAGAGGGAAGGGGGTGTCATTGTCACTGTTGAGTCCGAAATTAGAACACTGGACTTCCCGATCCTCCCCTGCCCTGACTCCATCAGCCTCCAAAGAATAACTGATACGATAAAACAACAGTAACAACAAAACAACAAAATAATAGCAAACGCTGAGGCTGTTCTGCCTAGACAATGAATACACTGACTCACAGCAATCTTTGTGGTAGGCCCATTCATATCACTCCCCTTTCAAAGATGAGAAAACTGAGGCACAGAGAAGTTAAGAGACTGACCAGGAACACACAGTGACTCCTTGGCAGAGTGGAAACCAAACCCAGCTCAAGTTCACACCCTCTCCTACCAGGGGCTGCAAAGATTCCTGCATAAGCCTGTCTCTGCTCTGGCTTCTTGTTAGGGCTGACTCTCTAGAGAGGGCACAGCCCAGGGCCACTGAGACACAGAGCTGCCAGACTCTACGAATTTGAGTCCAGCACCACTACACACTAGCTAGGGTCTTGCTTCTCTCTGCCTCTGTCTTTCTCTCTGCACTTCAGCCACTGTATCTGCACAGTGGGCATTACTGACAGCCCTGTCAGGCCTAAGGATGAGGGAGAGGAAGATGATGCTAAGGGGTCCAGATCAGGTCCTTGCCTGCCTTCATTTCAGACACAAATTTTGGATGGATGCTGCTTCCATTCCATTGAGGGTCTTGAGCTGGAAGGCAGGTAATGAATGCCCCATGCTAGGGGAGCCTATAAAAATGGCACCTTCACTTTGTTCCCACACCTCCCTTAGGGGCTGTGATGGTGACTAGAACCTAGGGAGGCTGGAAAGGCAGCACTCGTGCCCCAGTCTACTGGAGTACAGCCTAAGCTTCTAGGAGCCAAGGAGCTAGGATGTGTTTGCTGAGAGAATCTCGCAAGGCTTAATGGGTTGACTATGGACCAGGCCTGGAGAGGGGGGATTAACGTGCCCATTTTTCATAGAAAGCAGCTCAGACATGGGGTGACTTGTCATGCCTTCATAGCTAATTAAGGAAGAATTAGGTTGGGCCCTGGGTCCCAATTCCTTTCAGGCTGTGGCTCCTTAGCTTTTGATTCCTTTTTGTCTTCCTCTCATGTTCCATAAACTCCAGGCCCCTCCTACCTGCTGTTCCCTCTGCCTGCTCTGGCCCCTTGCTCCCAGAGTCCTCTTCACATCCCAGGGAAATGGTGCCTTGGCTCCCTCTTTCACTCAAGCCCTCCGCCCATTCCCTGGACCATCTTTCTTCTCTTAGGACTCAAAGCTACTCTCAAGGTAGCATGAGGTCTGTCTGTGTCCCAAAGTTGTTGTGTTATGGTACCTTGCCCACATGGCTGGGACATCTATAGCTGTTTAAAGGAGCAGAGGACTTGAGCAGTTCCAGATTGCATGTACCTGGGCCCATGGGGTTGTGAATGTGTGTTTGCCCGGACAGGGATGTCTGGGAGATGAGGGGCCTAAGCAAGGCAGGCCCAGGAGAGCTAGAGTACACTTCTCCGTATGAATCCCTGTAAGTCTTCAAGGGCACAACCTTTACCTCCATCTCCTTGGTTCCTGCTGAGGTGCTGGGTCCTAATGTGCGAAGTACAGCTCACTAGGCTCCCAGGGGTCCTCCCTCTAGCCCCATGTTCCAGTCCCAGCTTACGTGGTCAATGAGCTCCTTGACCATGCCGTTCCACTGGCCCTTGTCATCCTGTGCCCCGTACTTGCCGTCTTCTACCAGCCGGATCTCGTAGGAGAAGCCCAGGATGTGGGCCAGCTCCTTGAGCAGATCAATGCAGTAACCCTCAAACCGGTCATTCCCATATAGAGTCCTGTCTGACTTCCGGAACATGACAAAGGGCTCCTCCTGCAGAGATAGATGGGAGAGGGGAGGCAGGCTGAGTGAGTGGGGTGGAATAAGTTGTAGGCTGCTCTTTGGTTTGTTTGTGTGAATGTGCAAGTGCATGTGTGCTTGCGTGTGCGCACAGGCGTGCACATATGTGTATCTGTTCCAGGGCTTGAACTCAGGGCCTGGGTGCTGTCCCTGAGTTTTTTTTGCTCAAGGCTAGTGTTCTACTACTTGAGTCACAGCCCTACTTCCTGATTGTTTTTTTAATAGTTAATTGGAGATAAGAGTCTCATGGACTTTCCTGCCCAGGGTGATTGCGGGCACAGCACAGTTCTAGGGAACCAGTTTGGAGCCCCCTGGTGGCCCCAGGCTCAGTACGTAGTCATGGACTTGCTCAGTGGTCACAGAACTAGCTAGCAAGTGGTAGGGCAGGGATTTGAACTCAAGTCCACCTGATTCCAAAGCACAGGTTCTTTCTGTAGCAACCATGACGTGGGCCAGGGTTCTCAGAGTATGGGCCTCAGAAGAGCAGATCTGCAGAACTTGTTGGAGATGTACATTCCTGGCTTCCCCCAACTTCTTCCCCCCAATCTAATGAACCAGGGAATCTGGGTAGGGTCCAGCAAACTGTGTCTGAGTAGCCCCTCCCAAAACTTCTGATGTCTGCTCTAGAAAGTCCTCATTGAGTGTCTTCCCTGGCTTTTCCCCAACTCCTGGTTCTCAGATTAGATCTACATATTCCCAATTCCTTTGTCTTCCGAGGACTCTTTCAATTCCTTATTTAGGTTGTGTCAGGTGAGCAATGGCCAATAGCAGTGACAGGACTTGTATAGGACTTGTATAGGACTTGTCTCTCCCAGGAGAGATGATCCTCAGGAAGGTGGCTTGTGGGGTGAGTGACAGGCTCCCCTTCCATACACCACCCCTGCAGATGGTTACAAGCCAATGAAGGGCTTAGAAGAGGCCGGGCGTTGCCTGACTTCTCATTTGGAACTCCTGCCAGCCCTACAAAGAACAGTTAAGAGGAGCCAGAAAGCCTGAGAATAGAAATAGTTTGATTCCATCCACTTTGAGGTTCACAGAGTGAGGAACTGTGGGTTCTGAGGTAGCAAGATCCAGGCCCCCAGTGGAATCCCCGAGTCCAACATCAAGTCCGTGTTTCAGCTGGCTCCGCCCACTCAAACTCACTTTTAAGTCCCCATGCTGAGGTGGGTGGAACTGAATTTCCATAAAATTCAGTATTTATTGAGTTCCTATTATACACCAGGCACCAACCACCTTTAGAGTCAGGTCTCAGGCTAAGTCTCGCTATCTTGCCAGGTGGTGACATTATCACCATGTTATAGATGGGGAAACAGACTCAGAGGTCAGTATGCTGCCCAATATCACACCAGAGTTACTACAAGGATGGAGTCTTGTTCCCATCCTTCCCAGCCAATCAGAATGAATCTCTTCCTGGTTCTGTTCTCCTTTCTCTCCTCTGCGTCACCTGCTTTTGTAGGTCCCAAACTCAGGTCCAGAGCTTCTCTCGTGTGCCTGCTTCGGGACCATTCTTTGTTCTCTCCTTACTCCACTGGGCCTTCTTCTTCAGCCATTTAGTCTGCACCTGTCTGGCACTCCTCTACCTTTTCCCATTGGCTACCTTCTCTCAGACTCACTGTGGTACTTGAGGTGTCAGAATGCTTCAAGCTTGCAGCTAAGGGGGTGACAGCTGGCAGAATACATAGAGTGGGAAGCCCATTTCTACACAACCACAGTAAGGCACACATCTAATTCTGGAGGTGTTTCATTGTCCTCCTCAATGGTGAGGCCTTTCTCTTGACATCATGGATCCCTGGGGTGGTGATGGGTGGTCAGTGCTGAGCCTCTGTGGAATTCTGCCAGCAGCCACTAGCCAGGCTCCTGCTGTGGCAGAAGGGTTCAATTCTTCAGCCTTGTTTTCCTAGCATTGCTGCTTCCCAATACCTCATCCTAGCCCTGACTGATGGGCTCCAGCTTTTAGGAATCTTTTAAGGTGTTCCAGAGAAGCAGCCAGGGAATATCTGAACTCCCAAGGGGCTCCCCACTCTCCAGGGACTCTGATCAAACTACTGCTTTGTCAAGATAGACAGGAGACTGTGCTTTTTGGTTAGCATCACACTAGCTTCTCAGTGCCTCTCACCAACCAAGCAGATAGCTGAGCAAAGAATCCATTTGGGGTCTGGGGCAAGCATAAAGGCTGCTTGGAGGAAAGAAAACTTGGCCGAGTCTAGATATGACTTTCATGCAAATCAGTCTCTGGGTTGCTCTGCATCCTGGTCACAGTGAGCAGGGCCTGGTTGGGATTCAGCCCATTCTCATTCTTCTAGCTGATGCTCTTATGCAGTGCACAAGATATGCTACTGTACCTGTTGGCCCTGATCTTATCTCTCAAGTAAATAATTCAAGTTCTTTCTTTAAAAGAAAAATACCATCATCCTCAGGGGAACCACTAACACATATAGATAGATTCCCATCTCTTCCTATAAAATGAATATAATAACACAATCCCCATTTTAATAATAATAGCGTTTTAGTGAAGATAAAATGATTCAACTCAGGAAAAACATTTAGTGCCTGGCCAATGTTAGTTGCCAATATTACTTATTGTTATTATTATTATTATCATTACTGTCATCTTCTTTTTCCTGAGTGCTGATTGGCCTGTTACCTACAGTAACTTTTCCCACCTAGAGATCACACCCAGTGTTACCAAAGGGTAAAAATTGTGGCTGGCAGAAGAAAACCATCTCAAAGAGGTCCCCAAGATAGTGTACTTCCTGACCCCCCTCTCCATGCCCCTCCTAGGACTTATCCTCTAAAATTAGAACTTCATTTGTGAAGCCACCACAGCCCCAGAATCTATACATCTCCATATAAATACGCTGCCTTCGGAGCAGCTGTAAAATGCCATTAATTTCGGGAAGTGCTTTGCGGATAGCATACATATTTAACAGCCAAAGCCCAGAGCATTAAAATGGTGCTCGCCTTAGTAATGTGTCTCTAGACCTGCAACATTTCCTAGGGGGTAATTCTGAACTCCGCCAACTACTTATTCATGGACTATTTCACAATTTATTACTGGAAATGTCCAGACAGCCAATTCACAAGCTCTCTCGGCTGCTAATCGATTGCTCAGTGAAGGTGCCCTCAATTTCATAACTTCACGCTCGCCTATTGCTTTGGGAGAAGAGCCGTAGGACCAGGGTAATATTTCTCTTCAACAAGTCACAGAAAACAGGGGTCCAGAAAAATAACCTTTTCCGACTTTCCGTCACCAGGCTCGGAGTCTGGTTTCTCTACAATCAGTAAAGCTTAGAGCAATGTGATCGCCAGCCCTACTGCTAAGCTTCTCCCATTCATAGAATGCTGGATTTGGAGAAGGTCCTGGGGGCTAACAGCATGTGAGGAAGGATTCAGAGGTTAGCCGGTGATAATGGTATGCCCTCTCTCTGAGTTGGGCAATGTCAATCCACATCCATGCATGCATGTACACATAACCACTGGCATCACTGGCCACATGTTCAGATCTATTTGCCTGTCCCTGCCTGGGTACACAGGCCAAGGATCTTAGACTTCAGGCCTTGGCTTCTTTCTGGTAGAACAGCAAGACAGGCTTTGTATGATCTCTGGCCTGGAATGGTGTCCCAGCCTACATTCTGGCTTTGGCTTTTCCCCTGGGCTCCTGCTGGGTACTAGGAGTTCCGGCCTTCCTGGCAGCTGAATCTATGTGGGTCACAATGTGCAGTCAGTACAAATATACCATCACTGCATAAACAGATGCCCTGCATGGCTGCCCCCCTCACCCACACCCACAACTCCACGCATGCTGATCGCTGCTCACATCTTTAGCCAAAAGAACCCCGAGCCTTCAAAAGCGAGGCCCCAGGTGCGAGGCCCGTGTGCTTTCTCTGTGTGTGAGCTGAGGTTTGGGTAGATGAATTTTTCATGAACTCATGGAAGAGCAAAACCAGAACAGAAGCTGAGATTTCAGGGAGGGTGAGGAGGGCAGGTTTCCAGGCCCCTATTCTGGTTTAGGCTCAGGAAAAGGGAAGGCAACTGGTTGCTCAGAAATTAGAGAGGGTGGGGTCAGGCCCCTGTCTGTCTGTCTGTCTGCCCAGGGCAAGGGCAGGCTTAAATGGATCTGCTACTGTCTACCAGGTCCAGGCCCCAGGGAAATGAAAGAGAAGATCCCCTCTCACCAGCTTTTCACCTCCAGACCCTGTCCCCAGGGGCAGAGCAGTTTGATGTTCTTGTTCTCTGTCTTGGTATTTGCCTGTCACTCAAAGCACTGTTGCCTGGACAACACACTCAGACAGGTAGGGGGGCTGTGCTCTCAGAAGGAGGTCTGGGTCTGCATCAGGCTGCTAAACATAGGGTTGGGTTTTCAGCCAGGTCAGCTGAGCAGGTGCCAGGCTGGGCCCCTCCCCAAAACCTGCGAGGCTGCCCCAAAGAGCCAAACCCTGAGAGTGTACCCCAGGGCTCCAGATACGCTGACAGTGGTGAGCAGTGTGAGGTTTTCAGGGGGTCCTTGATTTGTCCTTGGTGGGAGTGGGCAATCTCTCTCCTGACTCTGAGGACTGTGTTTTCTGGTGGACACAGTATTTCTTGAGAACCCATGTGATGGTCGTATATGTTATATCATCCAGAGGTGGTATTTCCACTCTACTTCCCAACCTGCTTCCAGGAAAGACTGGTAGTGAGGATAGAGGGAACTGAATTGTAGTTCATCCCATGTGAGCATCTGATATTTGTGATGGGGTTAAGACGGTCTGTGTTCCCAGCTGTGGGTGCAGGATGTCCCCTTTAAGTGAGTTAGCAGTCAGGTCTGAGGTCAAGATGATGGGGTTAGGGGTAGGGAGTTACTGTGATGTTAAAACCATGAGCTTAGACTATGGCTAAGAAAAGGGAATGAGGCAGCGGCTGATCTGGAATTTTATGTTTCAGTAGGAGACTAGAACCATGAGAAGCTCCCTAGAGGAATTAGAAAGCCTTAATGCCTTCAGAGGCCAGTGCTTGGAGAAGAGAGGGCACTAACAAGTCGAGTATAAAAATGAGGGAACTATGGGCTGGGAAGGTAGCTCAGTAGTAGAGTGCTTGCCTTGCATGCATGAGGCCCTGGGTTTGATTCCTCAGCACCACATAAGCAAAAAGAAAAAAGCCGGAAGTGGCGCTGTGGCTCAAGTGGTAGAGTGCTAGCCTTGAGCTGAAGAGCTGAGGGGCATCGCCCAGGCCCAGAGTTCAGGCCCCACAACCAGATCACCCCACCCAAAAAATGAGGGAACTGTGGGGTCTGGGGTGGATTAGGAGAAGCTCCAGGACTTGAAAGGCACCCAAATGAAAACACAAAGTTCGGGGCTCTGCATGTGGATGAAAGCTGAGGATTTTCTCTCCAAGACCCAGTCTGCGTGTCATATTCCACCCTAACTCACCAGGGTCTAGATTTGTAATCAATAGCAATGAATACAATAACAGCTCTCATTTAGCACTTGCTCTGTACTCTGTACTAGATGCTCTCAACTCTAGGAAGTTGGTATATTATTACCAATCTCCTCTTTGCAGAGAGGTGATAGTCACAGAGTAGGTAAGAAACATGTCAGGGTCACACAGTAAGTGGCAAGACTCAACCCCTAACTCTGCACTCTGAGTCACTGTGCTGTCCTATCCCTGCAACCCTGGCACCCTGGGATGTGTTTTGAGGCAGAGGGGCAGTGGACAGATGGAGCTGTGTCCAGGCTATAAGCCAAGAGGGGCTTCTTTCCCTCCCCATTCTCTGGGGTACCTGGGAGCCAGCCAAGACTGGAATGGGATTTGTGATGATGGAGTGAGCCCAGTAGGTCTGGGGAGCTTTTGCAAGAAGCTGTGAGTATTGGTGAGAGAAATTGCAAAGATTGGCAGGTGAAGAGCATGCAACGTCTGTCTGATTCTGTCTCTGCTTGTCTAGAAAGAAACTCTGTGCTTCTGCAGAGGACTTATGCCCTTGAAATCAGGCTGCTGACATTCCAATAAAATTTGCCCCTGTGGTCTTTCAAGGTGGCAATGTTTTACATCTTTGGAGTGTATCCTTAGCTTACCTCTTCCTGTTTAGACTATTGTTTTGTGGCCATATCACCTTTGCCCATTTAATCATCTCTCCTAATCTCTTAAATCATGCTGGTTTTACCTTTTTAAAGCCTTGCCTGGCAAAAAAGAAAAAAAATGAAGTGTTTTATTTATATCACACAGTTTATGCAGCTCCGCATTTAATCTTTTACCACCTTTTTATTATTTTATTTTTACCCTTTTATATTTTAGCTTTGTCACACTTTTATCCTTTTGCTTTGTGACATTTTGGTTTAACATTTTTTACCTTGTCTAGTCAGAGCTGTAAATTATTTAATTTTTCACCCTTCTTAATATCTTCCCTTTTAATCTCCTTCCTTACCTTCATTTTCTCTTCATTATTTTCCTCTTAACCTTTTCTATTTTGCTCTCCTTTTATCTTTTCTATTTTTATCCATATCCATATTCCTATAATTGTTCATCAGTATCAGACTCACCTCCCTTTGCTTTTTTTATTTGTTTATTTTTATCTTGTACATTTTCAAATGACAGTTTTTCTTTCTCTTGCTCCTGTTGAGATCTCTTGACTTATTGGTTTCAGCAGATGGATTTTTTAAAAAAATACTTGTCTAGTCAACAAGGTGGATCACAAAATCTGGCAGGTCATGTGGCTGTGGGGAAAGTTCCAGTTGGGGTCTTGCCCTAAGGAGAGGGGCTAGTGTCTCCCTGACTACATCATCATTCAATCTTTATCCCTTTAAATGGGACTTTCTCGGTAATCACAACCCTGGGATTTGAAGGTGAGACCCAGAGACTGCAACTCCTCCCAGAAGTGGATAGGGCCTCAATGTTGGCCATTCTTTAGGATTCTTAGAAGAATGGAATTTTCCAGTTACACCTCTAACTGTTCTTTGGTATCCAAAACCCAGCCACAAACCACATACATTATGAATCACACTAGAGGACATGGGAATATCCAGGAGGACCTGGCCAGGCTCCCTCTACTGGGGAAGCAGGTGGGAGCCATCCCAGTCAGCACACCATAGGAGGTACCCATTCCTGGCTGCTCAGCCTCTTTCTAGGCTGAGGGCAAGAGGGTAGCCTTCCTTAATCCCAAAGAGACTGCACTCTCTTCTGGGTGGAGGAACAAACTCAGTGTGTGGGCCTTACAAGTATTTGCTATATCTTGAGAAGAAGATGATAAGGGGTGTTAAGTCAGGTTCTGCCAGGAAAGGGCTTCCTTTCCCAAGATCACTGACTTGGGTCCCTGGAGACTACAACTCTGACAAGTTCTGTCCTCAGCCCTCCTGGGGCACTGGAACATGCCATGGCCCAGTCTATACTTCTGCCCACTTCTGAGCTGCAAGATGCAGAGAGCCTGGAAGACCCCATGAACCACTTCGTGAGCTGAAATGGGCCAAGAGAAAGAGACCCTTTCAGTCCTCTTTCTGAAGGAAGAGGGGGATGAGAAGAGACAGGAAGGCACACAGAGAGAATATGACTCCAGGCAGACTGGTAACTGCCAGATCTTGGGACAGGACCCTACAGGGTGCCATGTGCAAGCATGTGTGAATAAGCTCACTAGTGTGACCACAGCTAGAGGGATTTGAGAAAAGGACTTTGCCCTGGGAATGGAGGTGTGAGAGGCACCTCTGGTTTCACTGTGGCAGGCAGTTGAGCTCCTTTTCTCCTGTAACCTCCATGTACTCATACTCTAGTATCAGGGCCTTGGGGAGTGGGTGGAGATGAAAGAAATGAGCACAGGTCTTCCCCTATGACATTCACAAAGGTTCTGGGTTCTAGCTCCCCTCTAAGAGCTGTCTGAGTTACCCTAGAAGTTTCTACTTCCCACTCCCCTTTGCTGCTGTCTCCTGGCCAGGCAGGAGCTTCTTAAGAGGCTCCCAGGATGCAACAGATGGGAAGATGGGACGTTTTGTTCCCCGGTCCAGAATGCCAGCCCACCCCAAGGCACACAACCCTTCCTGTGGGACCTCTGAGCTCTTACCAGCACTGTGGTGACGATGAGTGACCTGTTTGTCAGAGAGTCGGTCACGTTAGGGCCTCGGCCTTTGGCAACCTCGGTGATGTTGAGACCATCGGCAGGGCTCCACACCCCAACCTGGAGAAACAGACAGATGGAAGATAGGCACCGAGTCCTCAGTCCACCCTTCCTTTCTCCCACCAGTAAGACCAACGCCATCATTGTCCTTGCCTCCATGCTTTGAATGAAACATTCTGACGATAACCTGCTGTCCCCCTCCATCTCCCCCAAGGTGATTAGATTCTCCTGAATTCTGACCCTCCCTCGGCTGGCAACCTCATCTGGGCCAGACAGGGAGACAGGAGCTTCAGAGGCAGCATCAAGGAGTCCAGGGAAAGTAGCTGGGGGATAGAGCAGATCCCAAGTAGAGGCTGAAGGAGGTGGATCAAAAGTCCTGGTCCAGTGCCTGGTCCTGCCTGTGAGTGAGCTAGATGCTCACTTTTTGGGTTTGGCTCCAGGGGCAAATGCCTCCCAAAGCCAGGATAATCTGGGACAAGGGGAGATAACACCTATGTGTGAAGACTGAGCAAAGGCGGAGCTGGCTGTGCGCATGCAGGCACCCGGGGCAGGAGGCTGGCTACTGAAACTGCTTCAGAGGGTGGCAGCATCAGGCGGCTGAATGTCACTTGGGGCCTTGAATGCTGCTTGGGGCCTTGAATGCTGCTGGGGACTTGCAGGCAATTTGCTTTGTGGATTTTACTTCTAAAGATGACAAATACCATAGCTATGATGGCCAAAATATCCCCCCACCCCGCCACCCCCGGTGTCCTTATTAATATTGGGTCTGAGACTAGAAGGAGGAAAGGAAAGGTCAATTTATAAATCATCCTAAAACCTTAGGCCTCTTGAAAGTCCTTTCTGACCCGCACGCACCCCAGCTTGGCCCCTCTCTCTCAGGAAGGCTCCAGCATGCCTACTCTGCCCTTGGCTCAGTTGGGGGATACTAAAGGACCTTAAATCAATTAAACAGAAGAGGCTGAATGCAAACATCCCATTCAGAGGGCTGTGCAAAGCAGATAGCAGAGAGATATGTAATTATACTTGGGTAATTCTGCCTTAATCCTCCCAAAGCCACCGGCTGGAGCTGGCTAGATCAGCTATGACCCAGCTAGCAAACAGTAGTGGTGATAGGAGAGGAAGAGTGGCTGTGTTGGGGCTTAGCACACTCTCAGGGCCAATCACTGCCACCGGTAGACCATCAGGGCCACAAGAACAAGAGGCTGACAGACTAACAAAGAGGGTCTTTTCTTAAATGGGGCAAGCTCGGTGCTAAGGTGCCAAGCAGAAAGCTGGGTACAGAAAGTCCTCAGCAAACACCTGCCTGATGGTGCATGATCCCTCGCCCTGGCAAGCTCTACTGAGTTCCAACTTGTCTTGATGGACACCAGATGCTATGGGAAACAAACATCAGGACCAAGCAAGCTTATAATTATATGGTGATTGCAACTAGGAGCCTTTGGTGGACACCCTGCAGGGTGCCACAAGGAGGACTATCAGGAGAAGGGTGCTGCAGGTGGGCTCAGAAGGAGAGAGCAATCAGGTGGGTGATCAATTATTGATGTCTGCCAGGGGTGCAGGAGTAGAATGTGGTGTCATGTATGCCATTTAACTGCCATTCCTAGAATTTTGGCTATCTCCAGTGATGGGTAGCTGAGAGAGCAGAAATGACAGCTACTTGAGCAAATGTTGTATCCACTGCTGTGCTGAGAAGGCACAAGAGAGACTAAGTGGAACCTGGATGCTGGCTGATGAGAATTCACAGTATCAGCACAGGTCTAGACTAATTGTCCCTGATAGTCTGAGGGTTGGAGCCACAGTCCCATCCCTTGGGAGCTGATATGATATGGCATGAAATAGTTATGGAGGGATAGTTGGTAAGAACAACTTCTTCTTCTTCTTCTTCCTCCTCCTCTTCCTCTTCCTCCTCCTCTTCCATACTCCTTCATGCTCCTCTTTCCTCCTGGGCACTGTCCCTCAGCTCAAGGTTAGTGCTCTACCACTTGAGCCACAGCACCACTTCCAGTTTTCTGAGTGGTTTATTGGAGATAAGAGTCTCATGGACTTTCCCTGCCTGGGCTGGCTTTGAACCGTGATCTTCAGATCTCAGCCTCCTGAGTAGCCCGGCTGGTGAGGATTTCTTGACCATCCCTCCCCCACACTGAGGTCCCTGTGAGTTGGAAAACCCATGGCCACAGGCGTGCTGGGGCCAGGACTGTGAGTCAAGCCAAGCCAGATCCATGCCTGAGGGGCAGAGTTCACATCTAGTCCACAGTCTAGAGAAGCAGGAATGTAAGAGTGCCCCACTGGCCCATGGGGTGTTTCAGTGAGCAGTGGCAACTAGGTTGTTTTTCAAAGGCCCAAGTGAGAGGCTGACTTTTAATGTGACTTGGCACTAGGGGACCACGGGAAATTTTGGGAGCAGATTGCTTTTGGATCTGCCCCTGCCTCCCCTAAGCTGTGCCTGGGGAAGCCCCATTTGTGAGCACATTGAGATGGCTAGAGGGCTTAGGAGTGAGATGGGAATCAGGATGAGGCATTAGAGCCAGGGCATGAAGGGGGAAGAGGAAAGGAATGGACCCTAATGCTCAGCAGGGTCTGAGGAGCATCTGCCACCTCCTGGCCTCTGCCATATCTTACACAAACCATATCTGAGGGCTGTAGAGGTGCGCAGGAAGCTCCCAGGGACCAATTGCTGGGTAAGGGAAGGGTACAGCCGAGCCTCTGACCCACCCAGATCCCAAGGAATACTGAGAGCTGGGGGTTCACATTAATCTTTCTTCTTGGCCCAGCAGCACAACTTTAACAGCATACACTGAAGATTCCTAGGAGCCTTAGGAGCCCTCTACCCTGCCCTGTAACCTCAGTAACACATTTCTGTGCATCTCAGAAGGAAACCCCCAGCTCTGTGTGGCTTTGCTTTCCTCTGGAACACTGGCCTCGGAAGGTGGGGCAGAGAAGCTTAGAATCCTTGTAGTCCAACTTTTCTCGGAGGGTGAGAATCTCCTCTCATCTCCTATGGAAAAGCAATTGTCCCATCTTTGCTTAAATGTATCCAATGACAATGAGCTTTTAATGCCCTAGGAAATTGACCCCCTAGGGATTAGAACATCCCTCTTACCCAAGGACACATCTGCCCCTTTGCCCTAAGTCAGTCCTGCTGGGACTGCCAGACAGTGTATAGGCCCCTGAAACTTTTATTATATTTGCTAGGTTAGGCATGATGGGCCTGGCTCACAGAGTGATGGACTGGGTGTCTGCTGCAGGCAGTCCACTATGCTGAGTATGCCTCAGGGCTTCATGTTGGGCACGTTGTTCCCCAAGGGGCCACACTGGGTCATGCTGAACCTCAAGGGGGTGACTTTACTGGCCCAGCCCTCTGGCTCTAGGTCTCTGTCTAGGGCCTGCTAGAGGCGGGGGGTGGGGTGGGGGGGGGGGAGGGGGGGAGAGTGTCTTCATCCCCTCTGCCTGTCTTCCCCAAGTTCACGCACCTTCTCCAGGCCATCCTCCTTCAAGCTGATGATGTCCAGATCAAAATCTGTCCGCAAGCCACTGGTTTTGTTGAAAACAATCCGTCCAGTTAATCCTTCCCATTGAGCCTGTGAAGGGGCGAGGGCAGAGCGGCAATTCCTTGGGCTCATAAATCATCATTCGGTACAACTGTACAATGCTTCATTTTAATTACTCCTTGCACTGATACTGTTCCCCCACGACCATGATTAATTAATAATCACCTCCATCATTGCTCAGGCTGCGGTGCGAGCCAGCGATTTCCATAAATTCTATTATGCTCTTTAGCCAGCCTTACATTTGCACCTTCTCGTGTACAACATCGATCTTGGATGCACTCAAATGAGCCCCTGCCTCAAAGCCATAGGAATGGGGGGTGGGTAGGCTGGGTCAAATCCCCAAGGGGAGGTGATAGGGAGGCAAATGGGTAGAATTGGGGCAGGTAAGACCTGCTGAGAGGTAGAAACATCTAAGGACCAGGTGACTAGATATAAATCTAGGTACTTGGAGCAGACCTCAGAGAGGAAGAGGAGATGGAGGTTTACCCCACACCACCCCTGTATGCTATGGGCAAGAACTCTGGGGTCAGATGCTAGATTCAAAACAATTAGCTATGTGACTTGGAATATTCCATTTTACCTCTCTGCCTCAGTTTCCTTACCTCTAAAATGGAACTAATAACAGCTCCCATCTTAGTCATGCTGTGACCAAACATGCTTAGATAGCTATGCCAACTCTCCTCTAGACTCTGTCTTTCCTGTGGTCTAGAGCTTTAACCCCATAAGCCACGATCACACTGTTCCTGTCATGTGACCTCCCAGCAACCCTGGGGAGGTGGCCAGGTGAGGAACATGATTCCCATTTTACAGCAATAGAAGCTAGAGGCAGAGTAAGCTGGGAACCAGGTAAGTTCACACAGAGCACAAGAGGCAGAGCCAAGCTAGAGCTCCAATTTCAGAACCCTAACCTTCAGTCTGGACCTAGTTCCCTTCTCTTTGTCCTTAAGATGGCAGCCCATTTGCATTTCAACACCTAGACTGAGCCTGAAAGAACAAACCTTATATGACCTGGAGTCCTGGGGACTAAAGGTGGGCTTCAGAGCAAAAGGAGGGAGGCAAGGTTAGGGCCACATATAGCTGAGCCAACAGGGACAGGGAGGGAGAAAGGCATCCAGAGAAGAGGTCAGGGCAGCCAAAGGTCTGAATGTTGTGAAGTTGGCCAAGAGCTAGCTTTGCAACCCTGGGTTTCTGCTTGCACTGGGGTCAGGCTCTGACCCCGCCCCCTCCGCCAACCCCCCCATGCTCACAAATTCTCCAGTCTCCTGATCCCAGAGGCTTATCTAGGGATCCTAACGAAAGCCCCGAGGCAGTCTCCAAGCACTCAGGCAGCTCTGAAGCCCTTACTGTAATGGGATGGCCAAAACGGGGGCACTCAACTTAGACCACTGAGCCAACCCCTGGAGGTGTTTGGGAGGTTGTAAAGCAAAAGAGGCTAGAACGTGGATTTTGTACAAGTCAACCTGGTGATCTGCATGACAGGTAGGGACAAGTTACCCACTTCACAAGTGCTCAGAGAGGTGGATAATGCCTGCATATACAATCACCACTAAGGTGTAGACTGACTAAGAGGAGTGTGGCTTCTACACATGGAGCTCTGGGAGGAGTGAGTAGATCACAGAGGGCTATTATGCCCCCTGGCAGGAACTCCCCAAGTCCCCACTGTGCTTCTGCAGGGTGGTCCTCATCATTGCCTCCGCGATTTCACCCATGTGATTACTGAGGCTCCAAGAGGGACTGGAGGATGCAGATTGTAGGTAGGGGTGGGTGAAAGGCTACATTCTCTACAGCAGCACAGCTGGATGGCGTGGGGGAGGGGTGGGGAGGCCTCAGGGCCCACAGTACACCTAGGAAAGCCCATCAGAATCCCTGCAAGTGGGGAGCACAGATTAAATGATGCATCAGAGAAGGTGTACACCTCAGTTTATGACTTCACAGGGAGGCTGCTCAGCTTCCCTCAAGCCAGCTCTCCAGTCCCTCTGCCTTCTCTCTCCTCTGTAGCCCCCCATACCCTCAGGCTATCTGCTGGCCCCAGGGAAATCACAGCAGGTGCCTTGGAACCTGTGCTTGCTTCTCCAGAGGAGGGCTTCTTCTCTGTCAGCTACAGAGGAATGAAATGCCAGCAGGTGCTGCCGGTCCGTGTGCGGGTGGGCAGGGGCAGGCCAGGCAGGCACTGCAGCCCCGCCCCGTGACATTTTTCAGCCTGCCCGCCCCCTCCAGCCACAGCTCAGGACTCGCTAAATGAAAGATGCTTCACACGCTCTGAACTCCGGCCTGGTATTTTCCAGCTCCTCTCGGAAATGCCAAGTCCTTAAAATGATTTACTGTCACACAGTCATATGGGGAGATGGGCAACTTGAAAATGGACTAGGGGCCGGGGTGGAGGGCTGTGTGCTGGGCTCCTCAGGATGCCTAGGTTCTGGTCTTGGCCAGCTGGTAAACTGTAAGCAAGTCATGTGGCTGCTCTGGGGAGCAGCTCCCCGACCCCCAAAAAGGGGACTGATGAGTATTTCTAAAAGGACTTCTTTAGGGATGTGAATGGCCAGGGATCCCAACTCCAATCTAGGCTTGCCAGTTGAGGAGAGAGGGTAATGGGGCTCCCTTTTCTACGATGGGCAGCAGAAAATCTGCTTCCCTCAGAGATTCATAGTTGACCCTCTTGAACTTCCAGGGGTGAGGGGTAGATGGAGTGAAGCTCCTTGAACAATGTGGCCAGGGGACCCTCTGTTACCCATCTCCAAACAGAAAGTCACAGTGTTAGTAGAGCCAATGATGCAAACAGCAGGAAGAGCCACCATGCTGTTCAATACCAGCTGTGTCAAGCCCTGTTGCTATGAATCCTGATCCCACAGCCCCCTTTCTCTTCATACAGCTCTACCAAGGTGTGCTAGGATCCTTGCTGTAGATGGGGGGCTCTGAGGCACAGCTGGGTCTTAGTGTTCCCCAAGATCAAGCAATGGTTGTGAGACCGTCCTGCTCTAGCAGTGGACGATGAGCTCTGGACACTGAGCTTCCTTAGAAGCTGTGATGGGCTGAGTGAGAAGGGACTGTTGTGATCCTGTACCAAAACATTAAATGATGCTAGAACTCCTTCTAGGAGAGAAAATTAGCATCTGCCAGGTAAGGAGATTCACAATAGAGACCTCACGGTGACTTGTCTACAGCCACACAGCTGAGGAAAGGACTGCACTATATCCACATGCTTTTTAACACTGCTGTAGGATGCAGGAGGAACTGTTGTTTGCCTTAGCCCAACGTACTAGCCATGAACTTGGGACTTAGGAAAACTGCCTGCTCTGAGTGAGAAGTGTTTGCTTCCCACAGGCACCTTCCTTTGTGCCCGGGGTTTATAACCACAATGGGCAGACTCCAGGCCATGAGCTCTGTGTGCAGGACTTTTGTCTCTGTCACACAGGGAGGGGTGGGGATGCGGGGGTGGGGGTGGGGAGGCCCACAGCTCAGCCTCTGACACCCAGCATCCTGCAGCCAGCCAGCGGCGGGCTGAGTAAAATGAGAAACCCTGGGGGCAGCCTGCTTCCCTCTGGCTCGCCTGCTGTCACAGGGATACATTTATGCAGAGGCACCCCCCTCCCCACCCCCGGCTTCCCTAACCACCCCAGCTGCTGCCCTGGATGGGGTATTCCCTCTGGCCCAGCATTACTCTGTCTAGATCTCATCCTCTACAGCTTTTGCCCTCCCTACTCCACACCTACATTTACTGCATTTGATTCTGACTAGGCCCTGTGTCTGAGGCTCTGTACGTAGCTTTTCACTTTGTCTTCCCAATAACCCTTTGAGGCGGGCACTCTCATGATCTTGAGTTGAGGATCAGAGAGTTAGTCATCTCAACCCAAGTCATACCTCCAGCTGCACTGGAGACAGTATGCAAGCCCAGGTCTCAGTTCCCCTGACCTTCATAATGGGAACAACGAACCTTGCTGTCCAAAGATTACAAAGTCTAGGAGAGATAGGAAATCCTTAAAAACTGAAAATACTGCTAACTGCCTTGTTACACGGCAACTCCTTTATAAGACTACTTAAAGAAAATCAAAGAAAGCCAGGCGCCGGTGGCTCACATCTGTAATCCTAGATACTCAGGAGGCTGAGATCTGAGGATCAAAGTTCAAAGCTAACCTGGGCAGGAAAGTCCATGAGACTCTTATCTCCAATAAACCACCAGAAAACCAGAGTGGCGCTGTGGCTCAAGTGGTAAAGCGCTCGCCTTGAGCTGAGGAGCTGAGGGGCAGTGCCCAGGCCCAGAGTTCAAATCCCACAACCAACAACAACAACAAAAAAGAAGACAAAAAAAAGAAAAAGAAAATAAAAGAAAAAAAGAAAGGAAGGAAGGAAGAAGGAAGAAAGAAAAAGAGAAAGAACATACTAGCAGCAAGCCAGGCCTCAAGCTCCCTGCTCCCTCTGAAATTAGATCCATAGTGAAACTTCCCAGTTGCCAGAAGAGCAGGGGTCTAGTAAGGACCTTGACGGGAAGGTGGCTGATGGGAGAATATGAGTTTGTGGGGTGGATTATCAAGTCATTCATCTTGCTGCACTAAGCACATTCTTTATGGCATCTTGATTCATCTTCAGAGTTCTGCTCTACACCCCATTTTATAGATGAGGCATCCAAGGCTCAGCAAGGTTCTCTAGCTTGTTCTAGGTCTCATGGGAAGCCAGCAGAGACCTCTATTTGTTGTACTTTGAGCCCATGCCATGACCTGACACCATGCTGGCCACCAATGAGCGCTTGCCATACACCAAGTACTCGGGTATCATCAAGTCCATGTCCCCCAAAGAAATGGAAGCTCAGAGCTCAAGTGCATGTCTGTCTGTCTCCCTGACTCCCACCGTGCTGGCCTCACATCTCAGGCTTGATCCAGCTCCGCTGCTCCAGAGTATTGGCAGCCCCTGGGGGCCCTGGTAGGACAGTGGGACACACTCACCTCCTTGATGAAGTTCATGAAGCGGCCGCCAAAGCGCCAGGCTTTGTGCCGATGGCACTGCAGGGAGTTCACAGTCATCTGGGGTGCCCGCTGGTAGCACACGGACACGATGTGGACAGCGTCATAGAGCAAGGCTGCATCGGTCTGTAGGGAAGGCCCAGGGTCTGTCTAAGAGTGACTCACCCTGCTGTCTCCCCTTTTCCCAGTACAAGTTAGTGGTGTCTTGGTGAGGGAAAAAGGCCCAGAAGCCTTGAAGTACCCTTTTCTCTGTCCCTGGAGAGATGCCAGGCTGGAGAATCTGCTAGTCTATAGACACCTCCAGTATCACCTTCTGACAATAGGCTTTCTTTTGTAGTCTCCTGCCCCACCCACCATAAGACTTCTGGTCTTATGCCAATTCTCTGTAATTATGCACCTGTACGCCCATCAGTTAGGGCCCTTGGGGGGGGGACTGTGTTGGCTTCATCTTTTCATCCCTAGCCCCTAACCCAGGATCATGAGCATAGGGGATTTGCTTCTTGATGGTTTTAGGAAGCTATGGGGGGAGAGGCGGGGAAAGAAATGGGAGGAAGAAAGAAAGAGAGGGAAGGTGGGAGAAAAGAAGTATGAAAAGAAAGGAAGGGAGGGAGGGGAGAAGAGGAAGGGAGGAAAGGCCAGAAGAAGAAAGGAAAGGAGAAAGGAAGGAAGGAGGGAGGAGAGAAGAGGGGAAAACAGGAAGGGAGGGAGGAGTGAGGGAAGGAAGGAGGGAGGAAGAGAGGAAGTGAGGGAGGAGGAGAGTCCCTGGGGTCTTGCTGCCTGGCTGCTCACTGTACCATCATCACTCCATCCAACAGGCCAGACTCTGCTCGGGGAGCCGCCTGCAGCCGCTCCATAGACCACTTCTCCACAATGGCCGACACGTGGGGATTGTCCACATTGAGGATGCGGAACCCCGTCAGGTTCACTCCTGAGTAGCGATAGGGCTCCAGGTCTAGCGCGTAGAGATCCTGGAGAGAGAATGCTCTATAAATGAAGGGGTAGTGCTGCTGTGAGCTCCAGCCTCCCTCCAGTAGAGCCCCCTCAAGAGCCGAAGCTCCTGCAGAGGCCTATGGGAGGTAACAGCAGCACCCACAACCACATTGGACTTCCTCAATCTGCCTCCTCCAAACAGAAAACAATCAGCCTGTCACTTGTGGCCAGGTCATGTTCAGCTAGGTCAGTGGGCAGTCCCTAGCTTAAAGTCCAGGAAAAGGGTCTTAATGCCTGGGTAGTCCAGGCTCAGCTCCTCTGTAGATGCAGTTCAGGGATCTGGGATTAGAAAGAGAAGGAGCCCACGGAGAAAGGCCCCATGGGGAGAAGAATCCAGTTTTCCCTAAGCCGAGAAGAGATGGCAGGGATGGAGGAAGGGGAGTTAGTGGTCAGAGGAACAATGCCCTGAACTCAAAAATAAGCAAAGGGATGTAGCATGTTCTTTCAGTAGCTGAGGTACTTACCCAGAATGTAGCCAAGTTAGACTTTGCTGTTAGCTACTGGGTAAAGGCCTAGACTCCAGGTTTACATGGGGCAAGGAGAAGGGGGAAGGCAGGGGGATTTTATTCCACAGAGATTAGTCTCAAGGTTTCCAGGTTCATCTGTTTTGTAACTAACTAGTAGTCTTATTCTATATTTTCCTTGCCTACCTACGGAAAATGCTAAGAAACATGAAGCTCTTACAGTGTTACCTCCTCCAGGAAGCCTCCTGATTATTCATCTACATGTGCACTGCAGGGTGGGCCAAGGTTGCCTCAGCTCTTTATCTGGGGACCTTTAGGCTTTCAGCCCACTGCTTACAATTATCTGGGTCTGGTGTGTCTCTCTGTAAGCCCCTGAGTACTCTGGGTCAGAGGACAGAATGGTTAGCTGGGTTCAACAGCTCCCTGGGGTGCTTAAAATGTTTTCTTCTTTTGCTGGTTGAGGGTGGAAACTCTCTATGGGACTGGAAGTTGAGTGTGGCCTGGTGAATTGCCTGAAATGGAAAATTAGACCCTTAAGGGGTCTGGTTCAGGACCCAAGCCCAATAAGAGATCAAGTTTAGGGCTAGAGCTGAACTGCTGAGGCCAAGAAAGAGGAGCCAAAATCTGCCCACCCTTCTTAGCATGGGTCTCAGCTTGTCCAGGGCCCTCATGACTCAGTGGCCCTCTAGGACCAGAGGCCAATGTGACTGAGTGTGAAGGGTAGCATCTCTAACTTGGAGGGTTTTGGGTGCTGGTAAAGCTCTTGTCTCTAGATGCAGCATTTGGTCCATCGAGAGCGAGAGTGTCAGCCTCTTGATGAAGTAGCAGGACTGTGTGGTTACTTTCTTTCTTGTCACTCTTTAGCTGGGCCTGGCCGCAAAGGGTGGCCTTATGGCACAGAATGCCCATCTGCCCCATGACATGGTGGCAGTGACAACAGGGAACTGGTGAAGAGGCCTCTGTCCAATTCCATTTTTTTCTTCTTTATTTTGCTCAAACTGCCCTGGGCCAAGACCCTAAGTACTGTACACAGCGAACTGTGGGCAACTTGGCTGCTTGGCAAAAAGTTGTATTTCCGATGCCAAATGTTGACACACTGAATTCAGTATCGACCAGGGACCTTTTAGAAACATTCAGCATAACATAATAGACTAATTCATTAGCACCCCATGGGTCTGAATGAGTAGGAGCTGAAGCTCGGAAAACATCGCCTTAAGGAATGACAGATGAAAATATCTTTCCCATGATATAACTGTTATTGCCAGGAAGTGGCATTAATTGTGATTGCTTATCTATTAATTTATTATAATTCTTTTCTCACCTCCAGGCTTTTACCTACACATGGCATGTACCAGGGCCTCAGCTGGGCCTGATTAACGCGGGGTTATCTGAGAATGGCTCATAGCTGGCTGGGACAGATAATGGCAGCTGGGGTAATTAAAATGTCTTCTGCGTGGGTGAAGCAAGTTGGGAGAATGTTTTAGAGGCAAAGAGTTGGTGACGTGAGTTTCCTGAGGGGAAAGAGGTAAATGCCAAGTGCCACTGCTCTTCCAAATACAGCCACAAATGACCAATGGACACCAAGAGGGAGGATCACAAGGTAGAGTTCCAAATCAGTGGGGCTGGAAAGAGGATCCTGAAGCTGGGGGCAGACATGGCCAGGAAAGAGGAGTCATGGGGACACTGTGGATGACCTGACACTCAGGGAGCTGCTGGGGAGACAACCTGGAAGACCCAACACACACCTAGTTCCGATAAGAGTTGTTTGTATTGCAGGAGCTGTGCATGCCTGGAAGGGCCCTTTCTCCTGACCCTCAGTGAAGCGTGCAGAGGAAAGGCAGTCAGTCTGAACAGCCACGGGCAAGACCTGGAGTCAGGAGCCCAGGTCTCCTCCACTGATCTGCTATGAGACTCAGGACAAGCTGCACAATCTCCTAATACCAGTACCTCCCTCAGTCAATAGGGAGTTCAAACTCTGCCCTGCTGGCTTTGAAGGGGTACAGAGGAAAACCAGAGGCTATGGACTGAGGGTTTGGAAACCAGTGAAGTGTGGGCACTGCTGGGACTTGCTAAGGCTAAGTGTCAATCACCATGTCTAGACATCATGGCCAGGCCTTGTGAAGAATCCACCAGGCAGAAAAGGCCAAGGCCAAGCCTGACAGGCTTGAGCACCACACTTTGGAGCTGCCCAGCTCCCAGCTCCCAGCTGGGGAAACACCACCCCTCCCTTTCCTGCCAACTCATCTCTCTTAGCCTCAGTTTCTGCTTTTCTAGAAAACTGGGAGAGTCATAGCTCCCTTGAAGAGCTGGACTGGGGCACTGTGAGCACACAGGTAACACAAGCAGTTCTTTAATTACACACAGCGCTCAGTGCCAAGTATTGTTCTGAGCACCTTACCAACATCAGTGCATTAAATATTCATCCTGACATCCTATAAATAATGCTGCTATTGTCATCATTTTATAGATGAGGAAAATGAGGCCCAAAGAGGGTAACTCCTCTAAGGGAGTAAAGAGTCTCAATCCTAATCAGACAGTCTGGCACAAACTGTGGTCTTAACTGGCTGCTGCCCTGAGGATGTGTTGATAATTTAGCTGATTACATTCTATTTTGTTTTGCAATCTTTCTTTCATTCATTCATCCATTAATAAGCACCTGCTGTGTGTGCCAAGCACTACCTAAACATTGGAGACAGAGGTTCCTGCACATTTGACTGGAGCTTCCCAGCTTGCCAATATGAGTTTCATATTGGACCCATTCCTATTTGCCCTTTCACCCAAGTGCCCAGCTTAGAGCCTGGAGCTTCAGGGAACTGCTGAGTAAATTAATAAATGAATGACTAGATTAAAGAAAAGTAAGAGAGTGACACTGCCTGGGGCTAGAAGAAGGCTCTAGGGTGCTAGGATCCTTTCTCCTTTCACCTTGACCCTAGTAGACAAAGACATTACTGTGGAGGGTTTTGGGGTCACTGGGGTCCTGCTTTCTCCAATATCTTATCTTGGAATGCTGTCAGGAACCTGGGGGCCTCATTTCAAGACCCCAGTTATGTTCCAGGATGCATCATAGCAGAAAGAAGTCAGTGTGGATTGGCAGAGACCCCGAAGTGTTCAGGGAGTAGATGATTGATCTCTGTCCCCAGCTCCCAAGATTCTTTACTTCCCAGGTAGCTCCTGGCCATGTGGCTGCCAGGTCTGAGTCCTGAGCTCTGCAGGAGTACAGTGGGCAGAGTTGAAGGGAGGGTAAATGTTCCCCAGATTGGGGGAGGGAGATCTCATTTATAGTGTCTGCCCACATCTGTGGTGTAAGCACTCCAGCTATGGCTGACTTCAAGCTATGTCGGCACACCATGCTGGAGCCGGGAGGAGATGAAAACAATCAGTTTTCACACTCCCAGAGCAAGCTACCACATTGGCCTTTGCTTATGTTATTCCTTTCTCTGTCTCTGACACTATATCTGTTTGTCTCTTTTGTCTGTTTTTATCTCTTTTTGTCTCTGCTTCTCTGTCTCTGTCTCTCTCTTTTGTCGGTCGTGGGGTCTGAACTCTAGGCCTGGGCACTGTCCCTCAGCTCTTCAGCTCAAGGCTAGCGCTCTACCACTTGAGCCACAGCACCACTTCTGGCTTTTTCTGTTTATGTGGTGCTAAGGAATCGAACCCAGGGCCTCATGCATGCAAGGCAAGCACTCTACCACTGAGTTGCCTTCCCAGCCCTCTGTCTCTCTCTTAGTCAACTCTTATACATCCTTCAAGGCTGTCTGTCCAGGCTGTAAAGGCACAGCCTGCTGCATGAGAGCCAGACTGAGAGATGAAGGTAGAAAAGAAGCCTCAGTTTTGGTTACTTAGAAACACTTAGCTCAGTCCAGGTATTGGCTAAGGAGCCCAGTGATGCCAATAAACCAGGACTACGGGGCAGGGCCATCCAGGACTGCAGGGACTTTCAGTAAGAAGATAGTTGGAGGCCCATCAACCACCCCAGACCTTAACAGTGGAAAAATCCACCAGGGCTCCAGGGAGGTCAGAGGGTGTCTGGCTCCAACGTTCATTGATGGAGCCCCTTTGGCACAGGGATGCCTTTATTCTGCTGATCTCAGGCCACAACTAATTATCCTAATGGGCTTAAATGGTCCTAAATGTTCTCAGAGTTTGGACAGAACCCATCTGGAGCCTGCAGGTAGGCTGGCTGTGCTGACAGTGAGGGGCTGGCTGACTTCAGCCTGGATGATGCAGGATATAAAGAGGCACTTCCAGATGAGGGCCTTCGGCAGGAGTAGGGAAGAAAGAATTAGGAAGTGAGGGTGAGACAATCAAGAATAGCTGCTACTTCTACGGCTTCATCTTGTTTAGCAGTGTACCTAATCCACCCGTTACTCCTTACATCAACCCTGGGAAGTAGACACTCATTTTGCAGAGGAAGAAACTGACGTGCAGCAGCTAAACGGCTTTACCTTAGTGCTCCCATGGCTACTAAGCAGGGTGGCTGGTGTTCACACTGCCCTAGAGTACGTGACCTCGACCTTAATCTCTTTAAAAGGTAGGTAGGTCATAACATCTTTGTGGCCTTACCTGGGGGCCATACCTACAGCCTTCAGAAAGTTGGAGTATCCTCTAGCTATAGCAACTGTGCCCAATAACAGGCTGGTCCAGGCCAGGCCATAATGTCCTCTATCCAAGGTAGTCCCCCTCCCTCCCTCACTAGGACCTGGAAGAACATTACCAGAGTGGTGAAGATGAAGTGATAGTACTCAGTCATCATGCCCATAGCCATGGCCTGCAAGAAAGCAGAGAGTCAGCCAACAACAGGAAATACCCAGAGGTCCCTCCCTTCACCCAGGGTGAGAACAGGGTTGGGGCCGGGAACAGGAGTTGATAAGCTGACCACTTGGAGTAGAGTATCATTTGAAACTCTGAGTAGTTACAATGGCTAGCTGGCAGACAGCAGGGATTCCCACAGGAGTATGTAGCAAAGTCCCCTAGGACAAACTAAGGTGCAACATTCAGGGAACTCTGCAAAAATTCCCAGTTCTGAAGCATGAAGTGCGTCCGGTAGTCTTGGTTCTCAATCAGCATCTTTGGGCCTGGCTGTCACACTTACAGAGATGCGGACAGACCAGCCAAGCCATTGGCTCCATCACTATCCTAGCTCCCGAGACAGGTGTTCCACTCAGTCTTTGAGGCCTGGTGGGAGGCAGGAAACCTTAAACCTGAGCCTCTTCCTGAACAGAGACCTCCTTGCTTCCTCAGTGCCATGAGCTGCTGTGGGATAATTACTGTAGACCAACATGAGATCTTATGTGTTTTACTAGGAGCCTGTAATCTCTGATTCTAATGACTACAATGCATTTTCTACAGAGTTGTTGGAATGCAGGGCCCACAAAGAGCTGTGTGGCCGGGGGGAGAGGGCGCCACAAGGCCAAATACACCTGGAAACTGCAAGCTCAAGAACGAGACAGGCACTTCGCTGCATGTCCTCTGCCACTCCTACAGACTCACTACTCCACACCAGCACCATGAAGGCTCAGAGGACACCTGATGGCAAAGGATGGCCTTAACCTCTTTTAATTCTTTGTTTAGCTGAGCAGAGCATCTCCATTTTTAATTCCAGAAGTTTTCAACTCTGACAGACCCAGGAGTAAATTTCCACTTTCCTAACCCTGGCTTGTTACTTGCCTCTTGAGCCTCAGTATCCTCATGGATCACCTGGGCATGTTAACTTTCTCAAAGTCAGTGAGAAGTGGCAGGTACCCAGGAGAGTAACTCCTCCTCAGTAAACCAAAGCTGTGATTGTCACTGGCACTGTATCAGGCAAGCTAGGAAGAGACAGGGCGAACTGGCATGGCTGGCCAGGAAAACATGCGTTTCAAGACTTCCGGGCAGCGTATGTTTCCTTGATGTGATGTGAAGGACAATCCAGGCTCACTGCCAACCAGGTGCTGGGCCTTGGGGTGAACTCTGCACTTTCCTGTCTCACTGACATCTGAAGAGGTGACAGGTGCACGACGTGGCAGAGCAGGAGCAGACAGGAAATTCTCTCTTTTAATTCTCTCTGTCTGTTGGAGCTTCTTTTGAGGGCAGGAGAGGCAGGAATGGCAGGAATGGAGGTTGGCACTTGCCTTCGTCAGCTTTTGTGGGGCCCAACTGAAGGTTGGGACTGGAGCCCCTCAAGGCTTTGAAAACTCCTCAGCTCCTGCTCAGCCCTCTCTGGGCCCCAGTCCCTACCCTTATACCCTGTGTTCTCAACTTGCATACCTCTTCTAGTCACCAGGGTTGCTTTCCTGGAGGACATAAATTCCTTTGACATAGAGCATAGGTTTAAGAGTGGTTTTGGTTTCACTGTGGCTCCCTGGGAGGAGGTGGCAGAAAAATTCACTGTTAATTTCTTGCATGGCTGGCAGGCAGAAACTGACTCTCATCTCTGATATGCCATGCTGACCCATGTTTGGGAATGAAGGCCCATCCAGGACCAAGAGCCATTCTCCACTCTACCCCCACTCCATGGCTGATGGATGGTGTGAAGAGCCTCAGCTGACCTCCCAGTAATAGGAGAGTAACACCAAGTATCTTAAGCTATGGGGGATTAGTCACTGGGAGAGGTGGTGATGCCTTCTGGGGGCTGTTCTTGACAACCTAGAGCCTCTCCATACTTCATGCTTCTTGGAGTGCTCTCTCCAGCCTGGCTTTGGATGCCCCCAAGCAGCCCACCTGTCACCTGCACAGAGGTAAAGGGGAAAGCAGCATTTACCCAGCATTCTGTGCACCAGGCTTGAGCTCCACCCAATTGGACTGTGAAGTCTCAGAGAAGCACAGTGACTCCCAAGTCACAAAGCCAGAAAGAAGCCAAGTCAGGAGACCAGCTGAGACCTGGCTAATATCACCTGTGTGGTTTGGAAAGGGGAGATGGGAGAAGAAGCTGGCAGATACCCTCCATCCCTCCATGGGGTCAGTGCTCACACACCTGCTTCAGGATCTGGGCCGCCATGCTGTGGCTGCAGTCAAAGATAATTCGAAATTCCCGGCCTCGCTTCATCTCCTTGAGCAAGGGGCGCGAGTCATCAGAGTCAATGGGGAGCTGGCGGATCTTCAGGCGGATGTTGTACCTCGATGGTGCCATAATGAGCTCCTGCAGCCGGATGAGCCCTGGGAGGCACAGGGCATAAAAGACACACGTGTGCACACATGCATACACTGCTGAAGATATCCACTTAAGATGAGTGGCATGCACAGCCATACCTGTGGTCACAGGTCCATGATGTACATGGACACAGATACGAGGCCCACAGGGCAGTATGCATGTACATGGATACAGTCACAAGAGCCAGGAATGAGCACAGCCAGGCAGATGTGCACACATGTGGACATGCCTGCATATGCACACAAAATGAGAGCAGATGTTTGTGCACATGCAAACACATGCATGTAGATATAGACAGGACACACACTTGGGCTTAGGCATGAGTGTACCGATGTAGACAAAGGCCTGTACACACACAGATACATGTACACATATATGTGAATTCAAAAGTAGGCACAGGCCTCAGATCCCCACCAACCATACACACTTGCTTCTCTCAACCCAGAATGGGTAGAGACTGAGAGAGCCTTGTGAAACACAGAGCATCATTTCCCTGAAAGTCTCTAGCAAACCTGTCTCCAACATATAGCCTCAACTATATGTTAGTAAGCCTTACCCATCTTTCAGACTTAAGACCACCACCACCCCATGAAGGCTTCCTTTATTGCTGTATTCAGAATGTGCCTCCCCAGCACTTCTTGCACACACATCAGCATGGCGGCCTCTCTCAGCCTCCTCTGGCCTCACCTCATTCTCTCATTCTACCACAGGAACCTTAATGTGTGGGATGAGTTGCCCCTGGCACAGGTCTGGTACTTAGGTAATACGCAACAAAAATTCCCATAGTTGGATCGACTTACTGTTTTCTTCTCTCCACACTGAAAAATCTATTTGCCCCTTTGGCATTTTGTAAAACCACTTAATCTGGGGACTTCAAGGGAAAACAGAATGTCACTTCCTGGAGACAAATGGCTTGCTTAGGTCTAATTAAGTTCATTTTGGTCCCCATTTCAAGCCTTCCTTGCTGACTCTTCTCAGCAGGACCTGGGAGGGGGGCAGCTTACTGCTCTCCATAGCCCCCAGCCCCAACCCACTGAAGGAGAGACAGAGCCAGCGGCTGTCCCCTCCCGTGCCACACTCAGGCCCAGCATCTGTGCCATGGAGCTCCCTCACCATACCTCGCCCCCATTAACAGAACTCTTGAGTTTCCTTTGAGGAACAACTGCACTGCTCCTCAGTTTATGGGTCTCAGGAGGGATCCATGGTCAGCTCTAGGGTCAATTTATGTGGCTCCACCCTGGCTAATCAGCACATGCAGTATGATTGGGGTAATAGGACATAGTTGGTCCTGTCAGTGTGGTGCCTGGAATTTGTGCTAGAGAAATAGGTAAGTAAAACCCTTTTTATTTAATTTCAAATAGGGAGATATAAATCTGGGGTCACCAATCAGACTTGAGGAAAAGACCAACAGGGCAGATGTCAGAGAGGAAAAAAATAATACATGGATGATACACTTGTACCTTATGGTGCACAACAGTAAAGATAGCTAAGAAGCCACACCATCCTCCCCTTTTTTCTTAAACTAATTTGTAGCTAAATTTGCATGTTAAAGTTTGCCATCACTTGTTACAGTGCCCTCCCCCCTATCTGGACAGAGTTCCTCACTCAGAAAACCCACTCCAGAAGCCTTTCAACCAAGTCCCCATTTCTAAGAATAATTTCTGTTATACAGCCCGAGACCCTTCAGGTCTCTTCCCAGTCCCCAGGGCTGAGCCTCAGGAAAGCAATCTGCTACCCATCATTCTATTCTGCTGGGGAGGTCCAGATGCACCCCTGTAACTTCTACCTCCTAAAGAGACCCTCAACAATCTTCACCAAGACCATACACATCAAGAACACCCAACCCATGGCAAGTCCCAAATTCAGGACTCTGGAATCCTTGAATGATCTGGACCAAACAGGTTCTAGGATGTCCTAACATCAGATTTGATGGGGGATAGAGGGAGGTGTCAGTTGGCTTCAGCTAAGGGAGGGGCCACAGGTTATCCCCCATCAGACATGCAAACCCATACCCTCTCCACTTATCGAGAAATTCCTGGTTGACCTTTCTCACCTTTCTGTTACCCAGAAAGGCCCACAGTGCACAGCCTGTTCCTACCCATTTGGTTTTCAGACTCATGCTTAGCATCAGTAGGCATGTAGGCTTTGGGGACCCGGAACATGAGGACAGGGACAGGCTAAATGCTGGAGCAGAGGCCACCAGGGCCTTTTTTTCAGCCAAGCACATCGCCCCGTGTAATGCACGGTGACCCACATTCTCCAACAGCAGCAAATGTCAGCCCTCCTTCCCATCAGTGTATTCCCAGAGGAGACTGCAGGCTCTTCTCGGCCCACCCGGCAGAAGACGAAACTGTTTTGGTTTGCCTGAGATAAGCTCTTCTTCCTGGCTGCCTCCTTAATCAATCCCTCTCAAAATATCTGCAGTGAATCATGGCTGTCGGAGCCACGCTTTTCACTTATGAAGCACTTCTGCATTCATTACCCTATTTAGCTATCTCCCAAATCCTAGAAGGCATGGGAATGGGGATCTGCATGGTGAGGTTACAGATAAAGAAACTGAGGGCCACAGAAGAGGAGAGATCCTTCTATAATTCTACAGCAGGCCAAGAATGGAATCACAAGTCAAGAATCAGTCTTTTGGCTCCTTTTTTCCACCCAAGGGTTTTTCTAACCTCCTTCCTTTCACACATTAGGTTAGGAAGGGAGAGACATGGCTTACCTCAAAAGGCAAACACTGGTTGCCTCCAAAATGAGGTAGATTGCAATGATGACCCAAACTCTTCACCCCTTCCTAATGCAGGCTCTTTGCCATGTAACCTTTCAGAAAAGCCCCTCTAGTAGCTCAGCCCTGTGGCTCGTTTTGACCAGTGGGATATTAGCAGGCCTGAAGCAGGTGGACCCTTGACATAGAGTTGTCCATTAGATTTGTTCTCTTGGCCCTGTGCCACTGTCATGGCAACATGTCTGGAAGAAAAGCAGAGCCAGAGGGTGATGCCCATCACCCAGACAGAGTCAACCTAAAGCAACCAGCAAGCAGGTGAATGAGATCACAGAGTATCACCTAGCCAAGCCCAGGATATCGCTGAATTGACAGATTTAGGAATTAGATGAATGTTTATCATTACTGAATGTTTGGGGTGGCTTGTTACACAGCTTTTGGTAGAAAGAGCCAATGGAGGCACCCTCTGCTGGCATGCCAAGTAAAGTGTACTTTTGGGTGGTGACAATGTCTCAAGAGATGATTCATGATGGTGTGAACCAATTAATGCCAATACCATGCCCATTTGACAGTGTGTGGACCCAGTGAACTTTAGGGGACTGTCTTCTGATAGTTGCAGAGATAGATCTTCCTCCCCATTTGACTTCTACGTCCTACTTGCCTGCGAGGATTGTCATCATGTGAAGAAAGGATGTTTGGATTTGCAGCAACTCCATTGTATTATGGAGGAGAATGACAAGAGGAGCGTGGCCACACTGAAACAGCAGCCTGACTTTGGGGAGCTGTGAAACCAACCCTGAAAGACCCAGTCCCAGACTTCTGGTCAGTGAGACTAACTAAGCTACTATCACTTGAGTGAGTCAAGTTGAGCTGCTACACAGCTCAAATGTTCTGAGGACACAGTCCCCAAAGAAGGCACAGACAGGGCCTGCTATTGTGTTCTTCTCACTCCCACATTCCCCTTCTTTTGGACTATTCTGATTCTAGGGCATCATTTTCAAAGTTATATGATTGCTTGAATCCCACTGAGTCCCAGTACCAATAATCTTCTTAACTCGAGCCTCCTTTCTCATTGATTGCCCTCTTTTTTTAAGTGTGTGTGTGTGTGAAAATAAAAACATTAAGTTAAACTCTGAGTAGTACAAGAAAAATGTTTGAGACACTAGTGAGTTGAAGGAATGAAGACACTGTTATCTTATCTGGATTTTTATTTGAGTAGTTAATCATGCTATAGAAGAGTGATGCCCAGCTAGAGGTCACTGGTAATTCCAGGCCATTAGATCTGGGCATCAGGTAACTTGACGTACACTAAAGGCTTAGGGACCTTAGCTTCCACTCTGACTGGTTCTGTTAGCATGGTGTTCATCATGGTGCACAGCTCCAATAGGATCTGAAAAGCCCCACTTTCCCCCTGCCCAGTCTTCAGGCCCAATACCAATGGACAATGAGTGGTTCTGACCAGTGTCTGCTCTGCCCACTCTCCCTTTGACATTTGAGTGACCCATTTTCAACATCCCACTCACATCTGATTCTTCTCTTCTCTGGCCCCCTACATTCTCTTCTAGGTAGTCCTTCAAACTCAAGCCTCCTTTTTGTTTCTTACAGGACCAATGTAGCTATGCTATCTCTTCTTTAGTCTTGCTGTGATCTTTTCCTCAAATTCTCCCTGTGTTGCTATCAGAGCCACAGGCTAAACTCTCCTTTCATTCCTGTACTCAACAATACTCATGAGTCCTTGACTACTAAAAACAGGAAGCCTGAATCCTAGACTGACACCAGACCTTGCACAGCCAGACACACCCTTTATATGACTTTTCCCTTCCTCATGCATAATTGAATCCTCTCCCCTTGGCCAGGCTGTTGTCTCCATAAGCCTGCTACATACACTCCTCACCCCTGCACAGGATGTTCCTTTTATCTGTCATGCCCTCTCCACTCTCCTCTTTGTCTTGTCTTCAAGGCCTTCTGACTTTCTCCGGTCAGTCAGCTCAGGACCATCCAAGGCCATGGGGCTTTCTCTGGCTGCATGTCTGTCACTGATTCTTAGCTGATGCCTAGAAAAACACTCATTCTCCTCTAATATGATTAACTACTCAAAATTTTTAAAAAATGGAATAACAACATCTTCATTTCTTTGCCCTTACACTCTTTCCTACACTATTTAATTGGAGTTTAATTCAACTTGATTTTTCAATTCAATTCAATCCAATCTAATTCAAATTCCATTTAAGCAACATTTGAGGACATCTACATTGTCCAGGCCCTGTGCTACAGCCACAGAAAGCTCATGTTCTGGAAGCAGAAATGGGCTCAGGGAGGGTGTCATTCAGAATAGACAGTTAAGACAAGGTCTAGTACAGAAACACTGAAGGGACTTGGAAGCCCCATGAGTGCCCCTCATGGCAGATGCTTTGTGCTAGGGGCCCTAAGCATGTGGGAGGTGGGGTTTGAGGTGGTAGACTGTATTCAAGGACCTCCTGTCTGGCGCTTTGGTATCACAACAACTCAAGAGATCTTTGTAGAAGCCTGGAGAGAATAAACAAGTTTCTGATGTGTTTTCTGAGGGTTTCTTTTGTTACTATTCCCACTCCCCATTAGGAGATAATCAAGAGCGAACACTGCATCACAGGCAGCGAGAGCTGGAGGGCTCTTCCGAGGCTGGATGCTGCAGCTCTTGATGTGTGGGAAGAGTAAGGCCAGATGGGTTAAGTGACTTGCCAAGGTCACTCTCTTAAGAGGCTGGGCTCGGAAACATCTTGGGACTTGAGTCTTTGGAAAGAAAGAGAAGAACCAGCTCCACACTAACTAATGGTACACACTTTGGACTTAAGTCTTGTAGTCACATGCCAACGCTGATACCTGTTAGCTGGGTTAACAATAGGCAGAGCATGTGTGAGACTTCTTGAGCCTCAGTTTCCTCCTTTTAAATTTACTAATTTTCCTCATTTACTAACTTGCCACTCCTTAGAGTTGCTGTGAGACGGATGAAATTAAATGAGATCACCCCTGCTGTGCTTAGTTTATGGTGGATACACAGTTATCGTCCCATTGCCTTAACCATGTTCTGTCTCTGGAGGGTGTCCAGCTCTGGGCCTGCCCTGCAAACCGTGTGAGGGTGACCAGGGATGAAGCGGAGTCTGGCGGCAGCCCTTCTGTCCCCTCTTCTCCCTGATAACAGGCCCTGTCAAGCAGCTCTTAGCTCTCTGTGTATAGCTTCATGCAGAAAGTAATGTGAGCTTCTCTGTGCTTCCCAACAATGCACACTGTGCCAAGACCAAGGCTGGGTTTTTATTCATTCAGGCATTCCAAACTCCCAGCAACAGATGAGGTCTAAAGGAAAGGCTCACAATGTGCTATTGGATATGTTAGTGGATATTGGCTCTGGGCCCACACTCAGAACTTGAGAGGAAAGAGGTAACACACTTGAGTAAGAGTTTTCTAGAAGACAAGTCCCATGCTAGATTTGGAAGCAGGACTAGGCCATGCAGGTCCTATGCAGAAGAATGCTGGGGAAGCTATACAGGGCAGGTTCCTCTGCACCAGGGGGTCCAGCCTTGGGCCTGTGGCTCAGCCACTGGCTGCAGGGATCCTGTCCTATTTCTACCCTGGCTGACTGAGGTTCAAGCTTTGTGCCCACTTCTGCAGGTCTGGCCTTGTTTCTAGTCATGGGTGTTGTCAGGGAGCTGGTGCCTGAGTATAGGTAGAGATGGGGAGGGGGCGTGGTGCTGGGTACAAGTGTGAGAAGGATCCAAAGAACCAACTTTAAGCAAATATCCTGAGCACCAGACATGTGCACAGAGCATGCCTTTATTCCCCATGGTTTATGAAGAGACTGAAGTGCACAGTGGCCTCATTGCCAGCAGGTGGGAGGGTGGGTATTTCCGTTAGCTTCACATGTACACACTTCCTACCAGGCCACACTGGAAGTAAGCGTGAGTGTATGTGCAAGGCAAGGGTAGAGGTGTTTGCTGTGGGTGAGAAGATGCAGGTACAAGAGTTCAGACGGGGATGAGGACAGGTGTGCATGCTGGTACCAGGGGCAAGAGCACATCTGAGTACCCCTGAACCAGAGTGGAGGTGAGCATGTGGAACAAGGGGTGAGCCAGCTGTGAATCAGGCTGGGGATGAGCAAAGTGTGTGGGTGGTGGGTGTGCACAGGTGTGTCTGATCACAGCGGTGAGCATCGCCGTGACTGGTGATGCTGGGGTGTAGGTATCAGCACAGCCTTTCCCCCCAGGAACAGCAGTGCAAGGTAACTGTCTAAGCTCTACCCTGGGGCTCTGCCCCCACTTCACTACTCCCCATCCCAGCCACTTCTGACCACCCACCTGTGCTGTCATCATAGACCACGGTGGCCGACCTCCACTTGAGGTACTGCACCAGGTCAAGGATGGCATGGCTGAGCGAGGCATAGTCGGGGTAGAGGTTCACGTAGAAGGTGTCCTTGTTGTCCAATGGGTGGTGCTTCCAGCGCAGCTGGATGTGGGGCACTTCCAGAGCATTACAGATGGACTGGACAGCATTGGTGCAGGAACCCTGGGAAGGTCCAAAGATGGCCACCACACCCAAGGCCAGTTGGTCACAGGCTGCAAGAGAGGGGAGGTCAGCACCAATCAGCAAGGAGGCAGAGATTTTGATGATTCCGCAAAAACACATGGGGAAAATAGCAAGTGGAATCCTTATACGGCAGATGACTGAATTTGTTTCCTGATCTGAGTTATGGGGTCTGATCACAGGGACGTGGGAGGAGATGATACATGCAAGGCAGGGCCACAATGCCTAGCTGGCCCTTAGGGAGTAATCGTGGCAAAGATGTGATGGTCACCTGTGATACAGTGCCATTTGTAAGTAGAATCCTGGATCTGTGCCAGGTCCTATTCAGGGAAAACTTGAGAGAGAAAAACGAACAAATCTCAGCAATCAAGCATCTATTGGCTGAAGGCTCTTTTAACTCCAACCTTCAGTCTGACCTGTTCCATAGAGTCTCACCTCCCTCAACATCATCATTTGGACATTTAAGATGCAGCTTAGACCTATGTGTCCAAAATGTGAAGCCTTCTCCCCCTCCCAGCCTCCTGCACCTCAGTAAAGCCCCTGCCCCCTCATCATCCCAGGCCCTCCTGCCCACCACCATAATTATTTGTTTCAATTGCTTCCTAACCTCAGCTACCAGAGTGAGCCTTTCCTTGTCTAAGGGCTCCTGTCTTTCTTGTTGGCTTTTTTCCCACTAGAAGTTAAGCCTCTGAGAGGCAAAGGCTTGATCACTTTATTGTTTAATCAACATGTGATGAGTGAATGAGTGCTGAATTTCTGTCTTCAAACAGTTCACAGCATTGGGTAGGCTCAGAGGCTTGGAAAGGCCAGGAGCTGGTGCTTCCTGTTTGTCTGGAATTGCCCCACATAAGTGAGCATCAAATGAGATCTGTAAAACAGGCACATTCTGGAGGGGGGGGCTCCCTAGGAGCCTTAGATGTCTTGTGTCTAAGTTTCCTCCTCACGACCCCCCCTTTTCTGCTGCTTACCCACAGGGTAGATTATGTGACTTACACCTAGGCAATCACTCCCTGACCTGTCCTGATTTGCAGACATTGGTTTAGAGATGGTAATGTGGATCATTGGAGCCAATGGGATGCCACGAGACCCCATGACTGAGAAAGGGGCACTTTCCCTCTAACTGACCCGGAGAGGAAGGGAGATCTGGAGTTGTAGTGCTCACCTGATGTTCACTAAGAAGGAGCTGCACTTGTCTGTGACAGTCAATGTGGAGGGGAGTAGAGCCAAGGAAGGGAAAGAAATAGGAGCTCCTGATCAAGTGAAAGTCTGGGCTTTGGTGATTTATATACATACATACATACATATATATATATATATATATATCAATGCATCAATATAATGCATCAATCGATATATATATATATATCGATTGATGCATTATCTTTTTGCTTAAGCCATTTAGGTTTTGGTTTTCTGCTTCTTCAACTTGCAGGCCTGTGATCATGAAAATGCTACCATTTCACACATTGAATGTGGGGTAAACACAGGAGAAAAGTCAGGCTCAGCACATAAAGATGGGCATACTGGAGATTCAGACATACCCTAGTTCCCTCAGGCCCTCTGGGAGTAACCTCCTGAACATAGGCCCATACCTAAGATTTGCAGGGTTTACAACTAAGGTACAAATGGACACTCATGTGCTATAAGGCTAAATATTTAGACAAGGCAGTCTAACAAATTATTCAACAAAACATGTCTTTTCCTCCTATCTTGTCAAATATGACTTCATCATGGCCTGGAAACTCAAGTGAGAATGGAGCTCTCTCACACACAGTGACTACCAGCGGGGAAAATGGCCACCAGTCTTCAGCCTACCCCTTTTCTTTCATCACTTGTGCCTCCCTGAACCTCAGGTACCTTGTGCCCTCCATATGGATATATGGCTCCCTTACTCAACTGTCCACACTTCTGCCCCCAGACACCCCTAAGAACTAGGAATATACACCCCAATAGCCTAGCCTTCCCTCCAGAGGACAGATGCAGGCAGAGATGTGCACACCCTGAAAGCAGGCTCAGGGAATTTGGGGTTCTAGATATTAGAAGTCTCCTGATGGGTGAATTCTCTTGGTCTCACTGACCCCTGTCCTAGGAGGGATGGCAGAGGAGGCCTCTCCAAGGCACAGAGCGGTATCAACCAATGCAGAGTCTAGAGGAAACCGGAACTCCTGGGAACTCTTTCAGAGTTCTTCCTCTTGGTCAATATCTACTACCCCCACTGCTTCCTGGACATGGGAAATTAAATTGAGAGTAGTTACTTTTCCTGAGATTTGCACTTCTCTCAAGAAGCCGGCTCAGGTGAAAGATAACAACAATGTAGGGGGAAGCTAGCCAGAAGGTGGTAGGGCAAGCCAGCAGCTGAGCCAGCACAGAGGGCATGTGCTGGGTGACCCAGGGCTCCTTGTGGTCAGTGCCAAGTGCAAGAGAGAACACACAGCAGAACAGATGGTGTCCTCTTGATGCTCCTACAGTTCTAGGACTAGAGGCCAGGTCAAGGAAGCAGTGTATTATTCCTGTTCCTGTCACCTTATAGCCAAACCTTGGGTAGTCCTCTGTGTGAGCAAGCATGTACTGAGATCAATCCCACTGATAGTAAATGCTTCAAAAGTAGAACTCTGCATTTGTGAGCCAACTGTCAAACTGGCCTACAAATTCAAGGACAAATCACCTTTTTGGTGCCTTCCCGTGGGTCCGTGTGTGGACCTGTAACACATAGCTTAGTAATGATATTCATATACTGGTATTTCAGTATCTGCTCCTCATCACCACTACTCTGTCACCTTAGGAGCAGCTCTCTGAGGGAAGAGGCCACAGTGTGCATGGCTCTGTGCTTTGGAGACTAGAAGATGGTAACAGTGACCTAGTCTTGGCTATTCCTTCTTGTTCACACCTGAGGCCATGAACACCTCAAAATACACTACAGGTTTCTCTCATGTTTAACCTCCTGGTTCTCTTTGGCCCTTCTAGCTGTGTCCAGATACCCCTGGTTTCTGTCTCATCATACCCCATACCAATTCTCTTTCCCCCTGGAGTGATCAGATAGAACACATGGCTGGACTCAAATGTCTGTCTCACTTCTTTCCACCACTGCTTATAAGAATCTACCTCTTGGACTTCCCCTTTTGCTCTAGGCCTTGAAGCAGGCAAGCAAAAGCTACCTCATCTCTCTACCCTGATGTAGCTATTGTCCCCAGCTCAGGCAAGGGCTGGTCGTCCTGGAAAGATATACCAAGCACATAGCATGCTGATACAGAAGCTCCAAAAATGACCTTGAAGGATGTGATTGATCCTAACATTGGCTGTGACGATAAGGATGAAGGTACCCTTGGTGGAGACCATACTGAGAGGCTGTAGAGGATGATGGTGATCATATTGATGAAAGAGGAATTGAAGATGATTCTGTGACAGTAATGGTGGCAGGTGATGTTGATATAGATAGAATGCCCTCACCATCACATTGATAGGTATGAGGCCAGTAGGGAGGAGACAGTGGTAAAAATGTGGATGAGAAGGAGTTGCTTGTAAAGACCACGGTGTCTGCAGGACATTGGTGCTGGGGTTGGTGTGGAGGAGAGCAGTGATAGAAATGCTATGGCAGTGTTGGTGATGTGAATGGAAGTGATGGCAATTCTGATGGTGTGGCTGGGATAGTGGAGATGCTAGTACCACAACAGTGATGGTAACAGCATGATGTTGACGCTGGCACTGATGGGACCACTGATGACAAAGATGTCACTGCCATAGCAATGGTGGAGATGATGGTAGCAGGTGTGGTGAGAAGGTTGGATGGCAGCAATTGGGCTGACATATCTGTGTTGATAGTAGAGGCCATGACGGTGATATATGACAACCATGCCCAGCCCGGTCTCCATTCTACCAGAGATGCAGTAACTAGACCTCACCACTAGGTGAGACACTAGTTCTGACCTCCATCCATTTCTTCTCCTGGGCCTTTTCTCTCCACATCCCTTTTCTGGTCCCCTCCATCCTCTGAGGACCAACCAGCCTTGAAGAGTACTGGTCCTCCTGAGGCTCAGGGCAGGGGTTGTTGAAGGAACAGGAGCAGCAGCAGCTTTTCCTCCAGATGTTTCCAGGGCAGCAGAGCCAACCCTTGTTCTGGCAGCCTTGAGCACACACTGCAGTAATTACATTATTTGTGGCTCCAATTTTGAATCCATTTTCTGGTCATTTTACAGTAACTCAATGGTTCACAGTCATTGCAGGAGTCCTCAGCCTGAATGCACCTTACCTCCCCTCCTTTCCATGGCAATTGTAGTTATAGCAGAAATTATCCCAATCAATTTGTGTCTTAAAAGGAATTGAGCAGTCTGGAGAATAAGTGAAGGCCGAGGAGCCTGGGGAGTGCTGGGTCGATTCCAGGCCAGCTCTGGCCAGACTTGGAAGAAAACACAGATGCTCTGGGTTGCTGGCTCAAAAAGCTGCCTGGCAGTTACTCATCTTTTAATTTTCTACCAAACATTTCAAAATAAAGACAATAAGTGAAGGTCTCTTTTGATGGGGAAAGGCCTCCTGGGCCTCAGACCAGAGGAAGGACTAATTCAACCAGAGCTGGCAGGGAAGGTGGTGTTGGGCTCTGTTCCTCTCTGTCCCACAAATGGCCATTCACATGGCCTTGAGGTGGATGAGTAACCCAGGAGAGGCCTTGGGGTGGGGGTGGGGTGGGGGCAGACACTTCTGTCCAGGGAAAATTGTCACTGGATTAATCAGAATGAGTTCCAATGCAACCCCCTAAGGAGGCCCCTAACAATAACCTAGAGGAAGGTGGTTTAAAAAATCAAAGGTCAAAAAGGAAAATTATGAGGAAGGGACCACAGGACTCCCCAGGGGATAGAGGGTTACAGAAGGGTATGTAACCTGACAGGAAACGCTGATGGGGTCAGACAGCAGTGTTTCCATTCACAGCAGACAGACAGATGTTGCCTGCCACCTACCTTTTCACTGAACTGGAACACAATACAAAGAAGTGGGTTAAGTACGTGAATTGCATGCTTCATTCATAGATCACTCACTCATG